ATATTTTCAGATAAAATGAATAAAATGAAAATGCATAAAACTGCTGCAAACTCAGTGCTTTGACTGGATTGACCTGAAATATAAAAAATGTAAAAATGTAAGCAGCCTGACGTTTTGAACTTAACAAGTTCTGGCTTCATATTTTCAGAGGGTTGAAAGTGTCTACAATAGACCAAAAAAGAGGAGTTTTTCCATCTTAAGATTCAATGCAAAATGAAAACACATACAAAATGAAAGTGTAACTTCATGAAATTGTGGTTTATTTGAAAAATTGAAAATTGTTAGAAGAAAAAAATCAAATTATGTTGAAGAGCATGGATTACATGTAACTCTCAGCCTGAAAAATGTCTGTCAATAGACACCCACCTCCTGATCCAGGGACCTGGGAAGCCCCACCCCTGGTTCTGCCCCTCCCTGGGGCAGGCATGGCTTCAGCATCACCACTAGGCATGGGCGTGGCAGGCGCTGTCTCCCCTGGCCTCCGGGGCTGGCCCTGCTGCTGCCCTGCAGAGGCCCTCCCACGGCCACGGCCTCGCCCCCGACCACGGGCACGCCCGCTGCCAACGCCTTGCTGACTGTCGGCCATGTTGGGTGTTTCCAAACTTCTTTGCTCTGGGGAAGAACAACAGCTCATGTGGTGATGAACAGAGTTTACAGCAATTATGATTGGTAAAGCGGTGAAATGGCAACACCAATGAACAGTTACAAGCATTTGGTTAATGGGACACAAAGTCCTGAAGTTTATACTTTAGAGTGCTTACTTATCCTATTTTAACAGTCTGGTTGAAAGGAAACTAACCCAATGTCTTACTAAGAAAAGGTACCCTCAATAAGAGGTTTTTTGCGTATGAAGAAAGAGAATAAAATGCTCCTTACCACCAATCAGATATTGTGTTGACAAGTTATGGCTATTTAAAGTTCACTCTCATAAACGTGTAAAAAGAAGTAAAGTGCTGAGAAAAAGACATTTAAAGTTTCAAGTTTGTATTCGTGACAATGAAAGATGCCAATTATTTTTTTCCGTGAAAACACTTGCACTCCACAACTTGTAAGGTATTTCTATAAAATATATGTAGTAGACATATCAAAGATTACAAATATCAATAAATCTGAAAATCCCCCCCCCCCAAAAAAATCCACTCCCATTCAGTTTTGTTTTTTGGCATTTTTTCCCCGCCACGGCCTGTGTCCAGATCCGTTACATTTTGCCAGAATGCACAATCTCTCAATACTCAATGAACATGTTCTTTACATTTCTCAAGTCAACTTACTTTTTTACAGATGATTTTCTTTGTTGCTTGGATCACAAAGAAGCTGGATGTTGTCCACCATTTCTATCTGCAAGAACTTTTTCCAGGATACAGTAGGTCCCTCAGCTGGATACATCCAGACAATTAACTGTGGGAAAGATGAGAAATATGAACAGTCAGGAAATTGACAACTAACAAGTACAAAGAAACACCAATTTTTCACTTAAGTAGTAATTTAAATTAAAATTACTACATGTACTTACATGTAGGTGAAAACTTGGTGTTCTTTGTACATATTAGTTGTCGATTTCCTGACAGGTGAGTTACCACTGAGTTTACTGGTCACAAGTAAACTCAATGGTAACTCACCATAGGTTTAAAAATTAAAATTGAACATTCTCCAAAAAGGCACACAAGGGACTGTTGGACTCTGATTATTGGTGGTATGCCTCAGTTTACTGGTGCAGTACTCGTCCTAACAGATTCCAACAAACCCTGGTGTTGGAGTTTGGCTGGAGGGGTATTGTTAGGGTTAAAGTAATCTTACTGTACCGATGTAAAGTACCAACAATTAGGTTCTGTATTAAAAAGGCCTAATTGTCTCTGGCAGGTAGTGTGGAATCCGGTGACCAGATAGTTTTCACAAGCCTGACTTGCCCAAGCCTTGCACCACTGCAGAAAATGGCTGCCGCCAGATTTGTCTATAGCGCTGGCCCTTACCCAGTATTATGTGGGTACTTCCAAGTCACTGAAGTGAATCGCTTTATGCCCTATACAGCCAGCTAATATCCAGAATCAGACAATGGAGAAAAAAAAACTGGGCATCAAGAAGCCACATCTGGTCACATAGAAAACCACTCACTCATAACAATGGAACAGGATGGGTCCATTCAAACTGTTTCTTAAAGTGGTCGTTCGTGATAGTGATTGTGCATTATTATAGAATTTACTATTTCGGGAGCCAAAGAGGATGCGTGTTATAGCCAACTGTTTGTTATAGCAGCGTTCATTATAGTGGTGGTTCACTGTATGGGGACGCCTTCCCTCCAACAGTTGAAGTTAAAGACCCCCCCCCCCCACATTATACCCGACTTACAATGTAATAGGATCCCAAATCTTATGACAAATTGCTAATAGAGAACCAGGTTCTCATCTCTCAGGTTTTTGTACTTTTATACTGTGAGATGACCCAAGGTTTTAGGCAGAACAAGACCCTGACTGGTAACATTCTCGTCAGTTTAAGCACAAATACAGAAATAAATTAAGGCCTGGTAAACATTACATCCTACATTTGGATAAAAAATAAGGGTAATGAGCTGGTAAAATATATATTTTCAGCTCCAAGTTTCATAAGCCAGAAAAAAAATAGGTGGGATGATGGCCATGCAACTCATTTAATTTTTTTTTTTTTTCATTCTCTCAAAATTAAAAATTTTCTTTCTTTATTGTTTTTAAATCAAATCCTACAATACATTTAATTGCAGAATATTTCATCTTTGCTATCTGATTCGTGGCTCTGGAGGATTTTTGAATGGAAATAAAGTCCAAAAGTGCAATAGGTCTGATTCCCGTCTCCGGAATACGAAGTTCCAACGACAATGTAAGCGTGAAACCATCAATACACGCCGGAACCAGACAAAGATTCGTCATGGTAACAATTTGAAAGTCCAAAACAACACTCACTGTGCATGTTCAGCGTAATGCTGGTACAACATGCGCATGTAATGTGAAGTGGGCTGAAGATGGCGATGGGGCATAGAGGAAATGGGCAAAAGGCGAAGGGACAAGGGGCCAAGTAGAAATGGTAGGGAGGCCAGCAAAACGACCCTTCAGAAATTTATATCTATGCACGTACCTGTTCCAGGGTATGTGTACAGGTACGTGCACAATAACGTTACATTCAACGAAAAAAACGTATAATGTGAGACCTTACTTTTCTCATTGAAACGGTTTCCGACTTAAATGATATTTATACATCGCACTTTCCGTGGCATCCTTTACCATTTATCAGTGAAGACAAGTTTACAATTACTCGGCAAAACTGAAAAAATATCCCCTAAACTGTCGCCTGTTTTGAATTTGTGACCCAATACTTTTGTACTACACGACATGGAAAAACAACAAAAATGCATCAAATACTCTCTGTTTTTTTGCGCTAAGGTTTGCAAAAGTGACTTTGATTGCCTTAAATTCCTGTCCACGTGGAATTTTTTTTTATCAAAGTACTTCGAGCGTGATGTTGACCGATACTTCAGTGGGTCAAACTGCGACCGCAGGCATCCATGTTTGCTGATTATCAGTATTTCATATTTTGAGTGCGCATGCGAGCAAACTAAATGAGCGGCTGAAACATACGTGCACCGCAATGTACTGTGAAAGCACAAGGCGCGCCGAGTTGCACAGTACCAACCGCAAACATGGTAAATTCCGCATGAAAATTGTAACTTCTACCCCAGGAAACTGTTGAAAATTACAAAACAGGTGTCACTAGAATTGGGACAAGTCTTCTTCAGGTTGAAAAGGTCATTTTTGAATAACAAAAAACACCCTTGACTCTAATTTGATTGAAACTAAAGAGGGACCCGTAACAACAGGATATCGCGGTAGTTTTCCCATGTCTGGTGGTGTGCAGTCTGGCATTGTCTGGTCGCAACACTGTGTGGGCCTGGACACCAGTCTAGGAGCAGCTTAACGAGGCTTGTCTATTCATGTCAGTCATGTATCATCTACAGTGTAATTCGCCAAACAAAACTAAAAGCCATTTTTAGGTAGTGCCACACTCACGCGCATACTGAGTGCTTTCTTAAAGACGAGATGCATGTGCCTTGGTAACCCTATTGGTCCAAGGACCCCTACTCGAGGGTGTGCGTACTACCTGAGCGTGACTTGCACGAGCCTGGTGCTACCGCAGTGCCACCTCAGAAAATGACTGTCGTTGCATTAGTGGATACCAGATGTCCATTAGTCTGTACACAGCTCATTTCTTGTAACTTCATGATACATGTGTCTGCAGTAAGTCAAGTCTCCATGCGAGGACCGACAGTGAATCTCTCATTTCCATCACGTAATACCACTACAGCTTAGTCTACAAACTTTTGAGCCATTTTCAATCCAATGAACGGGAGGTTTGCGGTAACACCATGTGAATGATATCTCTTTTGAGTTGTGTGGTTCTGAGAAGAACCAGTTGTTTTAACTTGACCTTTTGAACAGTATGCTCTGTTTGTCATCAATCTCCTGTTGACAAACAGAGCACACTATTCGAAACGTCGAGTTAAACCTACTGGTTCTTAAGTAAGATTTTAGGCTTTGCATGGTGGAGATACTAATGAATAAAAGGTTTGCGGAAACACCATGTGGGAATAATTTTTTCAAACTTTCAAACCAACTGGTTCTTCTGAGAACCACACATTACAAAGAGATATCATTCACATGGTGTTACCACAAACCTCCCATTTATTGTTCATGTCCACCATGCAAACCTTCAAATCTCATTTTCAATCCAATGACAAAAAGAATATGCTTTCCGCTCTGTGAATTTTGTCAACTCAGCTTTACTAGACATGCATTATCTTGTTGAAAAATACTTGGAGTTTTTTCCCAGCACCCACCTTGTCCCAACTCAGTCAGCACTCTCCTGAATCCCTGCGTGCCTGGTAGGTAGGCCTTGTGCCCCAGCTTATCACAGTCAATCACTGCAGCACCGAGCCCCTCCAGCCGTCTACATACTGAAGACTTCCCGCTGGCTATGCCACCGGTCAGACCAATCACGTATGGGGTGCCAGGTAGATCTTTATTCTATGGGGAAATTTATAACAATTGATAAAAGGTGAAATCCAATCTATCCAACCAATTAAATCGAAAGGAAAACCGAATGCCATGCAGATATTTACTTTGTTCCCCACAAAGAATATTTTTGCAAGTACCGATTTCAATCTTTGGAGGACTATAGAGAAACCATTTTTTTTTTTCATTTTTGCAAACCACTCATCTTCCTTGTTACTCAAAATGCTACAAATACAACATTTCACTGCAACAAAAACCCGATGAAAATCAGTGCTCTATCCTTATTTTTGCTCTATCTTATCTTTTACTAAAATGTCTTTTTAATAAGAATACTTACACCTCTGTTTTTATTTTAATTATTTAATATAACAGGTTGCAGCCATTTTAAATCAAGTGGTTTGAGAAGCATATTTAATTGAAGTTTAAAGGTAATGGACACCATTTTGCTGACTCAAGGAACAACAATTTAATAATTCTGAAGCAGTTTATTGAACAAAACTAACTTGTTGAAATTTCAGCTCAGTAGATATCGTACTTTTTGAGAAAACTTCAAAAAAATGCGTCGTCACTTTTCAAAGCATAGGTTTACATTGGACAGTATGATTGTTTGGAAATGATGGTTATTCCTCTTCTCAAAAATGGCCCCTTAGTAGCCACAATGATTTCACAGGACGCTTGATCCTATTATTTACTTACAATCGAGTATTTCATGATGCTTTGACAATTTCATTTTTTAATGTTTGCAAATAACTGTTAAGTCTCGATACTATTTTATTTAGAATGTTTGATAAATTTTGTTTCTAAATTCATCTTTAACTCAGTGTTTCACTGCAAAATGTGAATTATTGAATATAATCCATCATTGAATGGAATTGGCAAATGCACTGCAAAAAGTGGTCTCTTTGTGTTAATCTGACAGTACTGAAAGGTAGACAGGTTTTTTTTTTTCACCGGACACCCGACCTTTGTAAAATCAAAAAGGGGGGGGGGGGAGACATATTAGTAACGGTTCAACTTTTCTTCACCTTTGTTCCCTTGTATGATTTCACTTGTTGGGGGGAGGGATGGGTGCATTTGCAACTCTAATTGCTTTTTTTGATTGGTATTGCTTCAATGATTTGAAGGTACCGGTAGTACATATCATTTGTCGTTTGTGTATTTGTTTTCGTTTGAAGCAACAAAAGTGCTCAAAATGTAAAGAAGGGTGCCTAACGACTAACCTGATGAAGTTTTAGCTCAGTGAATGCTGTGTATTTCGAGAAAACAATATTCTAGGATCTCAATTTCAATCAAAAAAATGCTGAGTCGTGTTTTGAACTGCACCGGAAATCAGCATCCGGGACATGTTCTCATTCAGCCGATTGCAGCTACACGATGTCACGCACTGAACCGCGGAATTATAGTAACCACGCGCACGGGTGCGTCGTGTCAATGTCTGCGCTCACCCATTCACTGGGTTTACAGACAATGTTTGTCTGCTTTGTCACCCCAACACATTAATTAATGTTTATGAGTGAGTACAATGCTCAGAATAATTTCATGAGGTGACAGATGGAATGTTCCACTCCACAAGGCAAAGCTGAGTGGAATGGAATATTCCATCCATCGCCGAACGTGAAGCATTCATTACTTGTTTTATACAACGCCTGAATAAATTGCTTGTCATCTGATTGGTAGCACTGCTTATAGTGCATGTGACCGTGCAAAGGAACTTCAACTTTATCTTTGAATGAACTCTGTTTTTGACGTGCGACTCGGCTGTAGGTTGGGACAAATAATTCAATGACCCACCCATCAGATGAGGGGGATTTATTCAGGGATTGCAAGATATATACTGATAAGTGGGTCATTGATCACGTGTCATTGAATTATTCCTCCCAATGGCATGGCCACACGGCAAAAAAATAGAAGTTCCATGCCACAATAAATGGAAATTTCATTGCACGGTTACAGTTTTGGCATCTCTGACCAATCACATGACGAGGATTTATTCAGGTGTTGTATAAAACACATACGGTAATGAATGATTCGCATTCATGCAATGGAACTAATTTCATTCAGTGACAGATGGAATGTTCCATTCTACCTGGTTTTGTCTCTTTGAATGGAACACTCCATCTGTCACCTCATGAATTATTCTTACCATTGCACTCACAAACATACTGAACACCATACATGTATGACCCACTCTCAGCTAAGTGAAAAGAAAGAATGTAATAAGGGTTGTGTTACATGAATACTTGAATTGATGCGTTCTTACGTTGCAGCATGGATATGTCTGTCACACCAACTGTAATCTTCTCTTCTGCTCTCATCGCCGACTCACTCAGCAGGATTTTATGTCCAGCGTGGATGCCATCAATTGTTCCTCCAAGAACAATGCTTCTGTAACTCTTAACTGACAAACAGTCTAGTACCGGTACTTCACTCACATCAGCAATGACTGGTGCAGAACTGTCCACATTTGTCCAGACAGACTCTGGCATGACTTCCACAACAGGATCTGTTGGGAATACAAACCACGACTTGAGTAAATGCTTGGAGTTTGTTTGGAGTGGAGCAGTCAGTCACTTACCTATTGAGCATTCTAGGGGGAGGTAAGGTGCCAGACCGGTTGCTGATAGTGATATTGTCCAAGACGACTCTGACATCTTGCCCTTGTAGCTGTGCTGACTTTGCATAGATTGCATAACGGGAATCAGTCTCTGTTTGTACTGTTCCCGTTCGTGGTCAAGTTCCCGTTCGTCGTTCCCGTACGTATAGAGTATTTCCAATATGCAGCTGGCGGCATGGCACAGTATTGGTCTGATTGGTTTGACGAGTTGGTTTATCGGCGAGGTTAAGATGAGAAGCCCTGTTTTCAGCTGCAATGGGGGGCATTTTGGTTCACTGGAAAGCACAGCTCAAACCTGCACTGTATAAAAATAGAAAGAACAAAAATCAGATATTCAATAAAATTTTAACCATGGAGGAATAAGCAGGGATGAATACCGGCAGCTGTGTTTGAATCATTTGCAAACTCAAGTAAAAACAAGAAAAGTAGTTAAGAATTCCTCTTCTGGGGTATCGTTTTACAAAGGCTGAATTGTGTTTACCACTGTTTACCGGCAGGGCATAAAAAATTTTAGGGGCGGATCCAGGAATTTTTGCAGGTGGGGGGTTCAGATTTTTTTACATCAGTAAATCAGTGCTGAAATGTAGACAGGTTTTTTCCTCCGGACACTCCGGGGGCTGGTACCATTCTTCAAATGGGGGCGCTGTTCAATTCAGACAAGCAGTCCCTATATCACACAATAGTGTACAAATACCCCCCTTACCCCCACTGGCTATGCCTCTGTGTTCGAGTGTTGCGCACAGGCGGACATATAGGTCAATATTATTAGTCAAGTTGTTTTTGTTTTTTGGTGTGAGCAGGGGGGGGGGGGGTACCCTCAACCCCCCCCCCCCCCACCCCAATGGATCTGCGCCTGCCTAGCTGTACCTTATAAAAGTTGTAATAAAAGTACTAGCATTGTAACGTTCCCCTCTAGTACATCAACCCCACACTGAACACTCCTCACATACGGCAATCTTGTTCCGTAGCTTTGGGGACCACACACCTGTTGAGCGATAGTTATTATGGGAACTGAAGACACTATACGGGGAGCAGAATTAAAGTCCCCATAACTCAGTCCTAATTTCCCCGTTAGGACATTTCCCATAACTTTGTGCCGGTTAGGGCACAACACTCAGCTGAGAGTAAATGTGTACTTCAGCGCTAGGGCCCAAGCACTGTTAGAGAACTGTAAGCTGTACAGGGTGATTCAAAAAGATCAGTACCCTGTAAACAGATCGTTTTTTTCTCGTCAATTTAAAGACAAATATGAACCAATTTAAAGAAAGAAACACAAACTACAAGGTTTTAGCAATCACCTCATTTTTGTTTCATCAACTTTGCCTTTGAGGTTCGGGAGATAGAGTTTTTTCCCAACATTCATGAAAATCAGTTTGTCCACGGATCACTGAATCAGGCTAAAACACATCTGTGCACTTCACACCTTACACATGATTGAGAATCCCGGGACATACCGTTATTTCGTTTTACCGTTTTGGATTTCCTCAAAAACAAAAACAGTAAATGAACCATTGATCGTTATGTCGTTTTACAGTTTTGTAAAACGGCCAAACGGTTTTAAGATAAATACGGTTATTTCGTTTTGCAGTTTAGTAAAATTCATTACAGCATAACGATCAATGATTTTTGTTTTTCAGTTTTACACAAATAACTTGAAAAACAGCAAAACGGTCAGTATTGAATACAGACTGTTTTTATTTTTTATTTCAGTGTCATAGTTAACAGTCTGTGGTGCATTTTGTGGCGGTGGACAAGGGGGAGGAGGGTGGAGGGGGACCATGCCGTGCACGAAGAAGTGTTACCTCGGCATAATTAATGTGTGGTGTGATTCCTGGCGTAACCCTGACCCCCATCTACTGAGATTAATTGGTGGGGCTTAAAGAGTTGCAAGCAAAAATGGCGCTGGAAAATTTCAAGGAGGAAATTTCAGAAATGGATACAGAGTGGTAAGACGTATGAAGAAATTGCAGATATTTTGAAGGAAATTGGAGTTTGGCGCGGCTCTTCAATAGCCAATATTCGCAAATTCTGTCATGAGAACGACATCATTGTAAGAAGGGCAACTTCCCAGGTAGTGAATCGATCGCAAGGTCGACACATTAACATTCCAAGGTGCATTGCTTAATTGCCAAACCTGAATCCAAAAATGGTCGACAAGACTATTGACCGTTTTGTCATTGTCATGTTTTTGTAAAACAACACTCTAAAAATAAAGCAACTAACCGTTTATCGCTTTTTACAATTTAAAAAAAATAACAATAAGGTCATTGTTTTTTGGTGACTTAATACCGTTTGACCATTTAACAAAACTGTAAAATGACAAAACCGTCAATGGTTCGTTGACTGTAATTGTTTTTGAGAAAATCTAAAACGTTAAAACGAAATAACGGTTTGTACCGGGATTATTGAGTCAATCTTTTCCGTTTCTGATTATTGCAGAGCTGATAGATTACAAACATTTGACATGAAAACACTTTCTAAAACCATTTCCGTCTCGTTTTGTTATTCCTTTCACATGACTGAGAATGATTAAGGATTCCATTTATGTGTGTGTGTCATTCACGTCTAGCCTGTAAACCAACACTTTGCATATTGGGTATCCCGTGGATATATCATTGTTTTCCCCTATTTTTTCAAAAATGTTGTAACTTTCAGAAACTTTGTCATATTGTGTTGCCCATGGATGTCACCAGATGACAGCTATTTACAGGGGTTTCTAGAGATGTATTATTTTCAATGGCCGTTTTCAAAAAATATATTTATTATTTTTTTGAAATGGGGTACCCATCTTTCTGACTCACCCTGTAGATGTAATAGCTGGCTATGTTGACAAATGACAGGAATGTGGTGAAGAGAGCAAGGTTTCAATTATTTGAGGGAAATTTGTAGGTAAAATAAGGGCGAGTCTGACGAAATGCAACTGTTGTCAGATCAACCCACGTAGTGCACCATAAATGCCTTGGTTTACATGTCACCAACTTCAAAACCAGGGCCATATAATGTATACAATTTTTCAATGCAATCCTTGAAAGTGCACCTTTGTGTCACATTTAACCCTATTTTTCATTTTGCTATTTTTTTCAAGGTTATTTTTTGGTGCCTTTATAGCCTCAATGTTACAGTTATTTAGTTATTTCAGCACCAGATGTTGGCAGAATTTTGAATATAAAACTTTCCCAAGATCGTTTTCACACACAATTTTCAAAACAACAGAACTCAGTGATGCACGCATAACAATAGGAATGTATACAACATATCAATGGAAATTAAGCCAGTGTTAATTCTCACTAGGGGAGCAAGTTAGGGGAGCGAGTAGGGGCTGGATGTTAAAGTGGGGGTGGGGGTGGGTTTGCCTAATTTCTGTAGCATCCGAGGGGGGGGGGGGAATTGTGGGGGCGATTTTTAATTGGAGAGGGGAGGTGTGCAACCCCCCCCCCCCTCCCCTCCCCATGCACCCCCTTGGCTGCACCGCTGGTTTTAAGCCACTGATAAAACAACAGCTGGTTTTAACACATTTCTTTGAACTGTTTCGGTGACTTGGTCCAACATGTAAAAATCGAAGCGTATAGCTTAGTGCAGAAACAAAACAAGTTTGTTGAAGGCAACGGCTAAACTAAGACCCATCTCCCTCAATGAAGTAGGGCTGGGAGTTTACAGATAATAGGGTAATCGGGTATCCGATAAACACATGGGCTGGATTGTGTTTGTTTGAATATCCGTAAAAGAGGACAGGGATGATGGTGGGTTTGAACCATTCAATTCTGAGCAAACCAGAAAGTCACACACTATACACTCTTCCTCACATACTCATCTTAAGGTAAAATGCAATACAACAGAATGGGACTGACACAAAATGATCACACCAGAAACAATTGTGAGATACTAACATCATGTATTTTAATATGGAACCTGAATGCAATCCATATGTCTACTCCATCAGGCTATTACTGGGCAAGTCCAAGAATTCACACACGTTACGTCCCAGGAACGCTTAACCCTCTAAAAAGCAATTAGATCAGTGGGTTTTTTTGTATTCTACTGTTGGACATCTGAAAGGAGAATACCGTACCCACATGAATTTGTTGTTAGTCTTTGTGATAAAGAAGACATGGTATGCTATGTATGGGACCACAAGGAGACCTTTTCTTGGACTTGCCCTACTTGCAAAAAAGGAGAGTTTTCTAGTTCTAGGCCTATACCGGTATCAATGGAAACAAGTCTTTTATTTAAAAGTATGTAAAGAGAAAATTCCACCATTTTCATTCACTGCAAAGCATAGAAAGTGAATTTGAAACCACACTTCATTTACATCCAAACATGTCAGGATATTGTTGTTTATTTAATTATATAAAAAAATATGAAAAAAATTACAACGCACCTAGTCAATTACTCCGTGCTTTATTTGAAAAAAAACAACTATTGGTTTCATATTTCCTTCAGTAGTTTTAATGTTCAATTTATATAATTCTAAAAACATTTTCTGTAACCATCCCCCCCCCCCCTGCAATGCTGGGTCAAATCAGTTATTCCTTCATCTTTTTGTAGTTTTTAATATTGATCTTCCCACCAACCTTTGCACTAATGTTTATGGGTCATTCCATGAAGTTGAGGAACAGGCCATAATTTTCTGAGGTCTGATTATAAAACAGTTTTTTATTTGTTATGGAATGGTTATTTCTAAAACAAATGTCATTTGACAATAAGGCTATAAGATAAGCTTTTAAATGATACCATGCTTGATGATATTCAAAAATAACTTTCATAACCAAATTCTGTAAATGTTAAGACGTCCGGCATAAAAAAATGAGGAAAAAGTGTGACAAAGCAACCTAGAGTTCAAAAATAACTCATTTTGAAAAGAAAACAAGTGGACTGGAGTTGAGGATTTACACAAATTATAGCAAGCAGATGTACCCTTTCTATGAAACAAAAATATCAGATGTTAAAATGTTTTGCCAAAATG